TTGGGATCAATCCGACTACCGGTCGTCGCGAAAGAAGTGACGAAAATCGTTAACTTCGCGGTAGTCGATTTCCCGGCTATCTACAACGTGATTATGGGCACGCCTTGGATAAATTCCATGAAGGCGGTTCTGTCCACGTATCACTTAGGCATCAAATTCCCGACGCCTACGGGAGTCGCTGTAATTTGGGGATGCCAAAGACAATCGCGATCTTGCTTCCTGGCCGAACATAAGCTGAGGCAATTAGCGGTCGCGATCGTGAAACCAAAACGGGCAAAGGTCACGCCACCGCCCGCAGACAGCGACCCGAAGCAAGCAACGGCCGAGAAACCAGAAGTTTCCGCACCCATCGCTTCCACCCAACCGGAGGAGACAATCCCGGACAAAGATATCGATCCCGCGACTGAAGCGATCGAGAAATCTACGACAGCCGAGTAAGCACACTCGCGCAAACAATCAGAACTACGAGATGGCTTGATTTCCGAAAGGAATACGTAGGCAGCTCGCCTAAAGACGACTTCAGCTATCCCCCCCTTCCAAAACGGGGGGGGGGAGTGGGTGAGTATACGAGTATTCGTATACTCCCAAAAAATTTTAAAAAATTTCTTTTAACTTTGTAATCGCAAATTGTTCGAAATTTTTAATAAAGACAAAGTTAGAATATCTCCGCTACCATCGAAAAACGCAAATCCGGAAAATCGCTTCCGCAGTAACAATTACTCAATCATTTTTACAAAAATTCGCATATCAAAATATTTTCGGAAAGAGCAGGCGAGACGTCGCCTAAATTCTCGAAGAAAAATATTTCCCCAAAGTCCGTCGGCGACTATAAAAACACGAACGCTCGGCAATTGGCCCCGTCGAGCACGCTAGCCGTCCTAAACAAACGCACCGACCTATTGGTCCGCATATATCCGACGAGGATAAAATAGCGCGCTATAAAAGAAATCCAAATTTTTGGTCAGCACTTCCGGGAAATTGTTCCCGGAGAGATGCTCGATTCCAACCACACGAATCGTATAAGCCGAGAACCTATCGCGGATTCTAAATCGGTATGGAATCAGGTTAAAATCGCAACGGGCAAAACGAAAGCCGATTAGTCATCGCACAGCCCGAATCCGAAAGTAAACCTAGGTCTTGCCCTAAACCCAGCACACTGGTCGCTAACGTCTCAAGGCATGAATCGAGATCCTAAAGGCATGTCTCTTCGCTCACATCTAAACACTCGCGAAAACCGAAATCTCCCGAGTTAACAAATCGGACGATCTATACCAAAGAGTTAGGTACGAGATGACAACTCGTATTCTTTCCTCTACATCTAACATAAAAAACGAATTTCATACTCAGAAAATGTTTTATTAAAAGCATTCGAATACACACCGCCCAGCGGTAGGGATTCAAAGCCACCAACGGCCAGTCCCGGAAAAACAACGACAAAATCGAAAAAACTAAGAACATCACACATCAACATCCGAAATCCCAGGACCGACTTCAAATGGATCCGGCGACACCACGACGGGATTCCATTGATCCCACATGCGCGCCTTAGGGTCGAAAAATTCGGACTGCGTATCTTTTTCCCGATTCAAATCTTCCCATCGCACTTGGGATTCCTTAGCAAACGAATACCCTTCATTCTGAGTCAGGGATAACCCATGAACGACCCCGCGACATTCGCGATAATCACCATGCGCCCGTTGAACAGCTTCCGCATCCGAATAACCGATTGCAAATCGCTCGCGACTGTTNTCGAGAATCGTTTTATAAAGCTCGAGAATCGTTTTATAAAACTCGAGAATCGTTTTATAAAACTCGAAGAATCGTTTTATAAAACTCGAGAATCGTTTTATAAAACTCGAGAATCGTTTTATAAAACTCGAAGAATCGTTTTATAAAACTCGAGAATCGTTTTATAAAACTCGAGAATCGTTTTATAAAACTCGAGAATTGTTTTATAAAACTCGAGAATCGTTTTATAAAACTCGAGAATCGTTTTATAAAACTCGAAGAATCGTTTTATAAAACTCGAGAATCTTTTTATAAAACTCGAGAATCGTTTTATAAAACTCGAGAATCGTTTTATAAAACTCGAGGATCGTTTTATAAAACTCGAGAATCATTTTATAAAACTCGAGAATCGTCTTATAAAACTCGAGAATCGTTTTATAAAACTCGAGAATCGTTTTATAAAACTCGAAGAATCGTTTTATAAAACTCGAAGAATCGTTTTATCGCGTTTTATAAAACTCGGGAGCATATTCTTCCCGCTACATTCATACAAATAAAAGCACGCTCTTAAAAACGCAAACTAATTTTTAATAAAGCCGCAAAAGCGGCAGGGACTCAGAGCCGCACACGGCCAGTCCGAAAACTATAACGGCCACGCTCGGCCAGACCAAACGGCCTACGATACTAGTCTCAAGGCCGGCAAAGGTCAAGATGCCATCGACATCATTATGCTCGATAAACATAAAACTAGACCGTAAAGGTCTTGCCGGGAAAAAGGTCATACGAACCTTAACTCCGAAACGAACTACGAAAGGCTTGATCCCCTCAAAAGGGTACGTAGGCAGCCTTCACAAGGCGCAGCCCTAATCTTAAACGCTTTCCGCTCCCTGGAAAGTGGAAATATCACTTTCAACAGACCTTTCCGACCATTAATTCCGCCTAACTTAACTAAAACTGGTTAACCACTCGCAAGAACCTTACGCTAACGGCTCACAATTCTTACGAGCTGGGGGGCTAACTGTTGGGGTCAAAATCGGTACGACGGAATTAATAGCCAAAACTCCCCGTGAAAATACAAAAAGAACAGTTTTATAAAATTCGAGAATCGTTTTATAAAACTCGAGAATTGTTTTATAAAACTCGAAGATCGTTTTATAAAACTCGAGAAATCGTTTTATAAAGCTCGAGAATCATTTTATAAAACTCGAGAAATCCTTTTATAAAACTCAAAGATCGTTTTATAAAACTCGAGAAATCGTTTTATAAAGCTCGAGAATCGTTTTATAAAACTCGAGAAATCGTTTTATAAAACTCGAAGATCGTTTTATAAAACTCGAAGAAATCATCTTATAAAACTTGAAGATCGTTTTATAAAACTCGAGAAATCGTTTTATAAAACTTGAGAATCGTTTTATAAAACTCGAGAATCGTTTTATAAAACTCGAGAAATCGTTTTATAAAACTCGAGGATCGTTTTATAAAACTCGAAGAAATCATTTTATAAAGCTCGAGAATTGTTTTATAAAACTCGAAGATCGTTTTATAAAACTCGAGAATCGTTTTATAAAACTCGAGAATCGTTTTATAAAACTCAAGAAATCGTTTTATAAAACTCGAGAATCGTTTTATAAAACTCGAGAATCGTTTTATAAAACTCGAGAAATCGTATTATAAAACTCAAGAAATCGTTTTATAAAGCTCGAGAATCGTTTTATAAAACTCGAGAAATCGTTTTATAAAACTCGAAGATCGTTTTATAAAACTCGAGAATCGTTTTATAAAACTCGAGAAATCGTTTTATAAAACTCGAGAATCGTTTTATAAAACTCGAGAATCGTTTTATAAAACTCGAGAAATTGTTTTATAAAACTCGAGAAATCGTTTTATAAAACTCGAAAATCGTTTTATAAAACTCGAAGATCGTTTTATAAAACTCGAAGATCGTTTTATAAAAACTCGAGAAGTCATTTTATAAAACTCGAAGATCGTTTTATAAAACTCAAAGGTCGTTTTATGAAATCCGAAGATCGTTTTATAAAACTCGAGAATCGTTTTACAGAACCGCAAAAAACCGAAAAAAGCCGTAAAACGCGAACTAGTCGCAACTAGTTTGCCGATGGGCGAACTAAGAAGCACTCTCTAGTTCGCCCATCGGCGAACTAAGCCGGGCCCGCAGAAACACTGACACGAAATTTAGAGCTCTCACCACCAAAACTAGCATTTAGGAATCTTTCCGTTTTTCTGTTAGCGAGCTGCGTCTCAATTAGGGTTTTCTAGTTCTTACGTTTTCGGCTACTCTTTTTGTACCAGTTCAACTCAGATTCGGAATAAGAACCTTCTTTGCTCTCTATTTCGTTTATTTTCATTCAAATTCCAAAGTTATCGTTTTCTTATTTTTCGTTGTGCGGTTCTCGCAGATAGCCGGTTCCTCTGGAAACTTAGGGTTTTCCCGAAGTTTCCTTTTTTACGATTTATTTGACAGTAGGGTGAAATCGACTCCCACAACTATATGACATTTCAAGACCGAGTGGCTGATGAGTAACCGTAATATCCGGTCTAGCAACATTGGCGCCTGGGGATTGGTGGGCTTGGTTGGTAGGCCAACAGCTATTTCCGAAGACGAGAGCCACGCATCTTTACCATAGGCAACAATCGTGTCAAGGACGCCTAGCTCTAAAGAAGCTTTGAAAACCACTGGGAAAGCCAATGTGCTTGTGATCTTCAATGCTTGCAAGCTCATCATGTCTTTGTCAGCTTGTTCTTCTTGTTTGGTTAGACCAGGATTGAAGTAACTGGTTATGGGACCTTGAAGATGGTTTGTCATTGTTGTTATTTGGTTGCTAACAGAACAAGATAGATAAGGTATAGATGAGAAGAGAGGGTGGGTTCAACATTTTGCACTTAGTGCCATTTTATAGGGATGTCAAACCAAGTGTACCGACATTTGGTTTGTTGACCTATGACCCATTATTTTTGCCTAATTGTTTAAAAGGTCAATCTTACGACTATAATATCTTTTATGCAAAAGAACAAAAATTGTCAAAAGTTTATTTGAGTCAATCAATATCAAGAAAATATATCCCAATATATTATCAAAGTAATCTGAATATGATAATTAGGAAATCAATTAAGGAATTCTTGTTTACTTGATGAGGAATCCAACATGAACCATATCATACCACAAGGTTTAACTGCATGTCTGCATACCACAAGGTTTAACTGCATGTCTGCATGATAACTAAAAATGAACGATTATTTGTTTACGTTTGATTATTTTCGTTTATATTTATTGATAGTGGTTTTCTTTTGTACTAAACGAAACTACCACCTTGTGATGATAATACTGTCAGAACAAGACGTAGTAAACTGGTTGTACATCATGTGAAAGAGAACAGATGCAGGTGGAGGATGGTGGTACCTGATCCCCGTGTAAAACCCAAATGGACCCACGGTCCTACTTAACAAATATTTCCGGTTTGATTCCTTTAAGTCTGATATTTACTTAGTCATTTTCAAAAATGGGGTTCATAGATCAACAGAAAAATATAAAATACCAATGAGGCAAATCGACATTGTATAAATAAAAGTAATGAGATCCAATACTAATATTGCAGAATGGATCGGATGATTGGAGAACTAAATGGATTGACGGAGACTAGATGATATGCAATATGAATGAAACTAAATCAAAAGAAATAGAGGTAGAAGATGGGATCGTTGTTGTTGGGCGTGTGTCTCTCTCAACAAGATTAGTGGGTGGATCGATGAAAGAAGATGGAATCTGGCTTGCTTGATATGTATCTTTTCTAAGCTGGATCGATGGATGGAATAGATAGATGGATATGGATTGACTCTCTCAATCAATGGACGAACATATGATCTTCAATCAAACAAGACTCTCTGGACGTGGCTTATTTAGGACTTAGTGAATCACACACAAAGAACTAGAGAAATGACAACAAAGAATACACAACTTTGATAGGAGAAGACCTGTTTTTTTATTACTTTCAAGGATCAAGAGTAACTTACAATGAACTATGACCTGAGCTTATATAGGCTCAACACTGGGACTACTATAACATTCCTATGACTCAAAAAGAAATAAAACACAAAAATTAAGTAGAAAAATGATAAGGTTGGTCCTTGAAGATATCTAGCCGATTTTAGCCTCTCTAAGAGAAAACTTGACTGAGCCTTGTATCTAGACAACTTCTTGATACGCCCATGATCTGCAAGCCTTCCTGCAATACTCCTTAGTCGACATATGAAAGAATATGTCTGTTGGTCTTCAAAGAGTTGTAGTGAAATTTATAAGTAACAGTCGAATCTAAATACTTATTAGATCCAAAATTTCTATATCCGAAAAAAGCGGAACCGAAAAGACCGACCAAAATAGACCCAAAAATCCGGAAAAAAACTGATCCGAATAGACCCGGCCTTATAAGAAACGCTTACTACACTTAAAAACATGAATATCCTAAGATACAGTTTCATGTGTTTTATTTTTTATATTTTAGTTTATGAATTGGTTGACATATGTTTTTGTTAGAAATTTTCATTATTATTTTATAGCATTTTTAAGTAATATGAAACTTTAAATGTCAAAATTTAAAGTGTAAAATGTTTAATAAATGTCAAAAGCATATTGACTTAAGAGTGGTGCAAGAAATGTTTTGTATCAGTTTGATTTTATTTTGGGAGTTTAAACGTAGTAAACAAAATTAATTTGGACTTTTTCTTTGTCCCTCCATTTTCACTGCCAAAAATATGCACTCTTTCTTCTTCTATCTAGTGAGCCAATCGATTTAAGTTCTTCTCAGTTCCTGTATAAATATGCCAATCCAACACTTCATTTATAAAAGTCACCATTTACTGAAAAGAAATAAAAGATCTATAACAATGAAATTTTCAGATTCTTTATCCAAACGATTTCTTTTTTTTTTCTATTCTAGGTGTGAAATTATTATACATAGTGTTTCGTCACTAAACCTTACCAATGAGTATCTCAACCACAAATGCCTCCTTAGTCAAGGGAAATATAACTCTGGATGTGAGTACAAGAACAACCTCAACTGGGTCATCGATTACCATCAATCTTCCAAAAGCTTGAGCTCTTTGGTGCACGAAAACTCTAATATGAGTTTGATTTTATTTTTAGGAGTTTAAACTTGGTAAAACATTTTGCATTTGGACTTTTTCTTTGTCTCTCTGTTTCTGCCGCAAAAATATGCAAACACTTCTCTCTTATATACAATGAGCTAATCATATAATCTTTTTGAATCTCGTATATAAAATTGTCAATCTCAACACATCAATTATCAAAATCACATTTTTACTGAAAACTATAAAAATCTAAAACAATGAAATTTCCATATTCTCTATCCAAACAATTTGTTTTCCCTATTTTGGCCATGCAATTCCTCATACATGGTGTTTCGTCATTGAACCTTACCAATGATTATCTTAACCACAAATGCTTCCTTAATCAAGGAATTTATAACTCTAGAAGTGAGTACAAGGACAACCTCAACATTCTCTTACGTGTCGTTCGTACTGGAAATTATACCAAGGATGGTTTCATGGGTGTAGATAAGGGTGAAGCTCCGGATTCTGTTAGCGTCATGTTCCAGTGTCGTGGTGACACTTATGGATCTAAATGCAATACATGCGCTGACACAGCAGTCGCAGGGGTAAATGAGTCATCCTACATTTAAATATAAAAATTATGTTTTTGAAGTGGTTTAAAACTTTGATCTTTGAGAAAAAAAAAAAGAGAAAACACTACATGAAACAAAAATGAGATTAGGGTTAACTAGAAAAAAAATATCAACTGGAAAAGTTTGACATTTGTTATCCATATAAAAGACCTGGTTCAGATATGATTTTCAGGTGTTGTAAAACCTTATCGCCAAAAGAGAAATGACTATATGAAACAAAAATAAAACTAGAGTTAACTAGAAAAAATTAACAGCTGAAAAAGTTTGTCATTTGTTATCGATACTTAGATAAGGATGGACAACTATAAAAGATCTGGATCATAAATGAGATTCGGTTTGATCAGAATATCCAGATATTCGTAAAATTCTATCCGTGTGATAGTATCTCAGATCATTAAAAACTGATCTTTGATTTCCGTAAATATATTTAACATATTTTCTTAATAATTTATAAACGATAAAATTAAATTTCTACATCAATTTTTTAAAAAAAAAAAAATTTTTAGCATTTAGTTTATATTCTGAAATATTATAGTTAATCTTAGAATACTTATTTCATTTTAGATAAATATCTAATAACTAGATATCCAAAAATCATAGATCTAAATATGGGTAGTCATAACTTGGATCTAACGGATCTAAATATCCTGAAATTTCCCGATATCCAGACCCCTCCTCTCAACCCTGGTTATTTAGACATCACAATTTATTATAAATGTTTTGTACAGACCAAATTATATTTTTTTGATAAATTTATTTTGTTTTTTTTTAAATACTTTTTACTGTGAGCAATCAGAAACTTCTTTTTAAATCATTAGCTCTGGCTTCAGGGTTACAACAGAGATAAGATTTTTAATCATCATTTTGCATTACGTATGTGACACAGGCTACCATACGGACCGGCCTCCACTGGCAAGAGGCCGATAGAACAAATTATATTGACGATGCTTTTTAGTTAAATGCAACTAATAAGGGTTACAAACTATTTATACATGTGGTTTCTTTAAATCCTTAACTTTAAACATCTTTTTTAATCATCAGAATAATAACTTCCTATACAAATAATTAGGAGAAAAAACTTTCACTGAAATATTAGTTCATCATTATATTTAAAATTGATACAAAACAGATTTGATTTTATATTGCAGTTTCGTAAAAGATGTTCGATGAACAAAGGAGGTATAATATGGTACGACCAATGTTTTCTCTGGGTTAGTGCGATTAATGAAGATTTACTAATCAGAACTAATTACAAGAATATCTTTCCTATGTACAACCCAAATAACGTGAGAGGGGATGCAAAATTGTTCGCCAAGAGGGTGGTATATTTTCTTTCTGAGCTAACCCTTAAAATCCATCTAAACACCAAGAAGGGCTCCGTCATCATACTTTACTCATCAGGGGAGAAGAAGTTCGGGAAAAATACATTGTATGCAATGGTACAGTGTGTAGGATCAACATTAGATTGTAGAAGTTGCTTGGCATGGAGTATCAATAAGCTTTTCAAGAACGGTGATATTAAACAAGGAGGCAGGGTTTTGGGTATGAACTGTGATATCAGATATGAGCTATATCCGTTTCTTAGAAGTTAAAGCATTTTTATGGTGGTGATGAATACATCCTCTTCATAATTTCCAGTTATGTTTTAGTTTTGTTTACTCTTTTCCTTTTTGCTGAAATGTAATATTCATATCTTAATAATAGCGTTTACAAAAACAGATCCAAAGAAGTTGTTTAGAAGATCAAAATGGAATTATTTTTTGTTAAACAATGATTTTCAACTGGCTTGATTTACTCCACGGTCTTGTGTTCCATCCTTCGTTTCTGATAGCTTTGCTTTTAGTGACTAATATCACGCAAATTACCGTTAGGAGTGAATTACTCTCTCAAATAAGAGGTTCAGTTGTAGTACTTAGGGATCAAATCCACAAGGAATTAAGGAACACAAAAGATATAATCCTTAGTGATTATGCTAGGTTGATTAAGTTTAAAAGTAAATTGCAGTTGTGAGCAATGGTAAGTTGCTCAAGAAAATTGGTTTAGGTTTTAAACAATAAGAGAAAGTAGTTAGATTTAAGGTTGCTATTCAGATAATCAGGATTATAATGCTACAAATGTCTTAATAAGTTGCTTGCAAGATATTAAAGAACTTCAACTCTTAGATAAGTCTATTAGTAATCGCTATCTAGACTCGTCCATTGATCTGGATGTCGGCAATATCGACCGATGTTTTGACTGCGATATCAGACGATATAGGTTGCGCGTAGCACGGTCAAAAGATGTAGTACACTATTAAAAGAGCTAAATAAAGACTCCTTACAATGTCCACCTAGAGAAAAATATTTGACCAATAACATGCCTTGAATCATCCACGTCGGACTGGTTATGACATTAATAACCAGGTTTGGTTTTGGTCTGATTTTCTAATCTAGAATTCGGTTTATCTGATTTTCGAAAGCTCAAGGAGACGGGAAGTCTCCAGTTTCCTCCGAGATTGTGTGGTTTCTCCCATTCTTCCACGATCTGCATCCCTAATTATCGTCTTCAAGATTGTAACTTATGTATGACGATTCGTTCCTCAGGTATTCCTCCTTCACTACATATACGAGGCCTGATTACATGACGAAACATGGTTTTCATTATTGAGATCTCTCTGCATATGTTTTGGTTATGTAATTATCTTAGAGGGTCTTTTTGTCTAGGTATGAATATGTTAAAGATTCAACCTTTTCTATAGATTGTGACTATGGTTGATCAATGATGTTCTATCCTGTGATTTTGGTTATGATGGAAAAATTGGTTATACTGATCTGGAAACTGGAACTTCATCAACTTTACTGGATCTCAACCCCAGTGGATGGCAGGTCCAATTCAACACCATCGACTCTCTTCTTGAATTTTTTCCTCTCTTGCACCATTCTACTGATTAAACATCATTGTTTTATTATAGGGCTCAACTACTTGGAACATGCTGTACGGTTTGGATATAAACTCAGAGAAAGGTTTGGTTCTAGCTGCTGATAATTTCAGATTGCTTCACATGTAAGTGATTCTCATCCCTATCAACTATCTGTTGTTGTTGTAGTGCTAGCTGCTTAGTGTCTCGTGTTTTTTTTTTTTTTTTGTGGAAAAGGACCAACGTAACTGGTAAGCCCATTTTGATACACAAGAAAGGTAGCAAAGTTGTTGGCCTTGACTGTAACCGAGTTCACCCTGAGCTTCTTCTTAGCTGTGGAAACGATCATTTTGTTAGTCTTATTTTTATCTGAAGTCTATCTGAACTTTTGATTAATAGATTTGTTTTGGTTGTGGTTTCAGGCAAGAATCTGGGATATGCGTAAACTACAACCTGGAGACTCCCTTCATGATCTCGCACACAAACTAGTAGTCAACTCTGCTTATTTCTCACCATCATCAGGCACAATGATTCTCACAACCTCTCAGGACAACCGTATTCGAGTATGAGACCCTATCTTTGGGAACTTGGATTTGCCAAGCCGAGAGATTGTTCATAGCCATGATTTCAATAGGCATTTAACACCATTCAAAGCTGAATGGGATCCAAAGGTTTTTGAAACTTTACTTCTCTCTCTCTCTTGGTTTCCCTTTTTATCACTTACCTTCTCTATAACACTTCTCATCTGCAGGATACATCAGTGGAAACTACAACGGAGCTGCTCTTCTCCTAATAGATTTCATTGATTCAAGCAACGTTGCAGAGGTCATAGATCCAAACATAACGACTATTACTCCAGTCAACAAGTTGCATCCGCGCGATGATGTTTTAGCCTCTGGAAGTTCAAGGTTTTAAACCATTAATGAAGACAATCTTGATGAGTGGCAGTTTTAAAAATCTGTTTTTGCAGGTGACTGTTCAAATAGCGGCCACGAGAGAAAACAGAGGGTTGTTGAGGAGAAGAAGGATAAGAAGATTGTTATATGTTGTGGTGACAGCAATAAGAAAGGAAAAAAACAAAAAGCGTGGCAGCAATGATGAAGAAGATGACAACTCCAAAGCATAATATATATGAAAATCAAATCCTTGACCTTTCCCACTTACAAAAAATATGGAATCAATCTAAATGTTTCACATTTCATTTCTTTAAAGTCACATAGAAACATATCTCTTTTGTCAAATGATATATGACATGTTAGTACTGTTTTCAAAAACTTTACAAGAGTAAGAATCTCAGATGAGTTTATAAATGATTTATAAACTTTGAAATTTAGTTATTAACTTTTGTAAAATATTTATAAATCTTTATAAAATGTTTCTAAACTTTTATACAAACTTTATATTTTCAAGTAATGCATCGATAAATTAGACCTTTATGTCCTCCACCAAAAAATATATTATCTCCCCACTATCATACTATTTGTATACCTTCACTTTGTCAATCAAATAAAATTTGGTAATATGTACAATACCACCAGCCATTATTAAACATTATAGTCATAAGTGAACTAGAAACCCTACATCTATCCACAATAAGATAAGGGAAAATTCCATATAAATACCCCAACTAAATTTTATTAAGCTTTTTAATACCCAAACTTTTTCATTACCCAATTTAATACCTCAACTAATAATTTTTCCCACTTTAATATACAAACCTTTATAATTGTGCCCATTTTAATACCCAAACTTTGTTTATTTTAATTAACAATACTAATAAGTTTCAAACAAAAAGTTTAAAAATCTCCAAAATCTAAGAAAAAATATTTAAAATTTCTAAGTTTACTCTAAGATTTAAGAAATAAGGTAAATAAACTCTGGAGAAAATTTAAATGTCTTAAAAAAATAATTTTGAAGGAAAAAAAAATAATTTACTTTTTTATTTCAGAAAACAAACTAAATTCAATATATAAAACTTAAAAAACTTTTTACAAAACTTAAGATTATAAAAAATTTATTTAATTTCATTTCCATAACATATAATAAAATCAATTTTTTTTGTAAATTTTAGAAATTTTAAAAATTTTATTGGAAATTTATTTGTATTGTTAATTAAAATAAATAAAATTTGGGTATTAAAATGGGCACATTTATAAAAGTTTGTGCATTAAAATGGGTAAAATAATTAGTTAGGGTATTAAACTGGATAGCGAAAAAATTTGGGTATTAAAAAACTTAATAAAATTTAGTTGGGGTATTTATATGGAATTTTCCCATAAGATAATCTCTACGATTTTTGCAATCATATCTCACTTTTTAAAAGGATAACAGCCTTGACACAACTACCAACTACAATAGATTTTCAAATTAATCAAAAATGCATACTAACAAATGTTCATAACTAAATTATAAAATATCGAAAAACCGCTATTTATAATGATTGGGTATTAGATCTAAAGAACCGAATATTATAGGACATAAAGGATATTCACAAAAATTTGTTATTACTGTTTCAACCAGTTATTTAAATACATAAGTTCGTAACAAAATATAGACTATTATGCAAGTTGAGTCAAAAAGCTCAACCCATGAAAGTTTATATACTAGATTATCATTTCCTTTTAAACAAAGAAAAAATCATTTTCTCAAGTTCAAATTACTATCTTTTCTTAAATGTATAATTATGGTGGTCATACAAATTTCTATGTATTTGTTATAAAGGTATATTTTGATATATTCCATGCATACAATTTGGTTCGTATTGTATAATCTTTGGGAACTTGAAAAAAAAATATTAAGATGGTAGTTTTTTTAAAATGGTTAAACAATAAATACCAACTTCAGTTAAATATGTATATGACTTTTGACATAAATTCATAATAAAAATATGTCTACTGGAACGATTTTGTTGTTTGTTATTAAAAACGATGTTCTGTGACAAGAAGTGTTTTAAAAACCCGAACCGTCTGTTTGGATCATGATTCTATCTTCTAAACAATTTTGAGTTATGCTATAAACTAACGAATTCGGTTTAAGAACCGGTTACTCGCTAAAACTGATGGTCCAATTTGACATTAAACCCTAATTTTTTAAAATTCAAGTTAAAAAATGCAATTTTTTAAAAAAAACTTTCATAAAAACCTGTATTGTTTTAATATCTATTTAAATAAATTATTTTCATTATATTTTATATTATTTTTTAATTTTGAATTTTATTTATTTAACTTCAAACCTTATAAAAATAATTTTATAGTTATAAATATATATAGATACTTAACTTAAAATTAAATTAAATTTACAACACAGTTGGACTGGTAAGATCATTGACCTAACTGCAATGTCAAGTCAATCTTCCGTTTGGTATTCAAAACATTGATGGCAAGGATAAATTAAAATCATCCAGTTTATAAATAAATAGAATAAATCCCCTATACATTATTTGTGAAGTGATTTTGTCACATGTCCTCTCTAAAATCAGTTTCACAAAAAAATGGTGACATATCTATTAGAATTGATGACATGACATATGATTAAATATGACATGGACAATTGCATTTAATGTTAATATATATTTTTGGAAAACTTTATAGAATATGGTAACAACTCATATATTACATTTAATGTCGATTTATATTTTTGGAAATATTTTTAAAATATGGTAATTACTAATAAATCATCATTAAAATAAATATATACCAATATGGGATTAAAAATATCGAAAATATCATTTAATTATATATTTTTAAACTATAAAATTTTATTACAAAAATTTCAAAAATGTATACATTTTTTGAAAATTATTAAAATTTAATCGTAAAATTATTAATTTCTTATATATTAAAAAATTTAATAAATATTCTCTAATTTTAATTTTTGATAATTATAAAATTTTCTACAAATTTATTAAATATATTTAATTAAAATAAAGAGATAAAAAGTTATCTAAGATTATAATTTTAAATATATACATGCATATTCTTAAATATAATTTAAAATAAACAAAAATATTTTTATATTACTTTTTATGTTTGATTAAACAAAAGTTTGTATTAAAATAGTGATAAGAAAAAGAACTCATAAATTATCATTAAGATAATAAATAATATAATAGTAGAAATATAAATACAATATATTAAAAATATTGAAATATTTTTAAAGTGTATTTTTATAATTATATATTTTTTATCAGAAATTTTTTTTAAAAAAAATTATGCAGTTTTTATTTAAAAATTAAAATTTTCTAATCCCAATACCATTAGCTTTATTTATAACATCTATAAATTTTAGAAATATTATTTAGTTTTATATTTTGATAATTATATATCTAACAAAATTTTCTCTTAATAGTATAGAATCTGATTTAATATAATTTAACCAAAAGATAAAAGATACATATATATTATTAAATATAAATTTAAGAAAAAGATAATAAGATAGACCTAAAAAAAGTTTTAATCACAAATATAGACCTTAAAATAAAAATGACCAAGATAGACTTAAATGTTTTATCAAAAATAAGTAAATATACACTTATATCCTTTGGTTTAACTAATAGTAAACCTTTTTTTTTTTAAGTTGAAGTGGGGTTTTGGGGGAAAGGATTACAAATTTGTTTTTAAAAAAAAATTAAAATTTTCAAAATAAAAATGATGTTTTGGTCATTTTAGTTTTAAGATATATTTTTGTGAAAAAACATAAAAAAATTCTACTCGAGAGAACTATCCTATATTTAAATAAAACTGTTTATTTTCTCTTAATTTTACATATAATTAATGTAAAATTAATAATGTAATAAAATAATAAATTTAAAAATTAATTAAATTTTATTTTTAAATATAAATTTATTTTAATAATTTTTATTTCTGCACATGGTGCAGGAAACCACCTAGTAAACATTATTCATAACAACAAAATATATACAATCTCAAATTTATATAATATCATTTTAAATTTAAATAAAATTGAATTCATTTTATATACTTAATTTTTAGATTTTAATAGTGATTATTTTCTACCAACATTTTGAAGATAGAAAATATAAAACTACATATTAAAATATTACAGTAATTATTATGTAAGTTATTTATATCAAAAATAAAATGAGGGTTCTGTTAAAAAAAACTATGAAATCTATATTTTTTTATAAAAAAAATTCATTATTAGTATTACTTATGAAACTCTTACTTACATTAGTTACAATGATTTTTTCAATCGTTATCTTTTTCAATTTAATTTAACATTCTATTTCTTCTATTTTTAATTTTAAATTTAATTATACAATATATTATATATATAAACAATATGATTGAAAATTTTGTTTACAAGATTAGCCGCACGTAGCGCAGCCAAAAGATCTAGTATAGTTAATACCACTTGAAGACGGTGATGGCTCCTCTAAGGAAAGGACTGTTCGTATTTTTGAGGATAAAAGGCAAATTGATATAGCTACCAAGTTGATAAAGGAAGCATGGATCAGGTCTGTCTTCTGTTGTTATTTTTTCATTGATGTCATTGCTGTTTTTTTAGTGAATGGTTTACGTCTGTAACATGTAATTAAACTTACATAGCATTGTTACAATATAACCAAGAAAAAACTTGTAACAATATCAAAATAAATCATCATCTTGCCAAAGGTAACAACGTTTTTAAAGCTTACTATTTTTTTGTAATGGTTGCAATTAGTGTCTTCATGTGTTCATCATGTCTTTAATTTGGATGTGACAGCTTCAAACACAGAATCTGATAGAGTCGTTAACAAACTCTCCATTATCTCTTCATGACCTGCGATTTCAGAATCTTTGGATGTTACTTCATGACATGTCTCCTTCAGTAATCTTTGGGCTTCTTTATGATCCTCTTTTAGTTTAGTAAGTGTTTCCTTACGTTCAGTTAACTGTTTGTTGATCTGTTTGTGTTCCTCTCCCAGCGTATTGTAAGCAGCTTCTTGCTATAGTGATGCTTTATGACATCGATGATATGATTAGTAAAATCTGATTTTTCTTGCTTCACTCTATCAAGCTCTGATTCGGTTTCACTCTTCTTCATCTGCAGAGAATCAAGTTCATGCTGCAGAGTGTTGATTTGTTCTGTTAAGGCCACTGTATCAGCAGAGGCTTCATTTATCTTATCCTGCATTTGAAGGATATCTTCTGTTTTAGCTCTTAGCTCCTCGTAAAACTCACTTCTCTGTTTCTGTAGAGTCTCTATCTCAACTTCAAGACCCTTGATTTTTTTAGATAAACAATTTATATCTTCTAGAATAGTATCATGATCTTTGACCTTACTCAAATTAGATCTGAGAAATAAGCAAATGGTGTTTTCTTATTATACCTGTCCCTTTTATGAAAAGAAAGAGTGGAGATTCAATGATCTCATTTCTTGGCTTGTGAGGAAGGAAGAACACACAGTTCTCTTCTTCCACCATACCATCTGATCCATGCGCTTGCACCTAAGATGATAACACAACTTTAGTTTTGATATGATTTAGAACACAAAAACTTGATAAAAAAAAAACAATACTCACAACATAGATTTCTCTTTTGAATACACAATTTAGTTTTGATGTGTTTTAGAAACACAAAACTTGAGAAAATACTCACCACATAGATTTCTCGTTTGAATTATGTGGCAAGACATTCAACAGCAATGTCATCCCCAAAGGCAGCTGCATGTCCTTCTCTGTTCTCATCAACAGATAACAAACCATCTTCCGTATACTGCAAGGCGATTATATCATACTCATCTTCTGATGACCCTGAAATCGACATGTACTTGGCCCAACTGAGCCCATCGTTCACCAGTAGGCATTTCTCTCTATAGATTGACTCTTCAGCAGTTTCTCTACAATGAACAAACAATTCAAACCCAAGACATATGCTTTAATACAAAAGATCCATTCCCGACAACATAGTGATGAAACTAAACAAGATCTGAATGTGTTGTAAGAAAATAATGAAAAGGAAGTACCTTTGCATTCCGATTTGCATAAGCTCATCAATGGCAGAGTCTCAACTCTCACGCCCGTCCTTCTTAGCGAGTAGCTTCTCCTCCTGAACTATATGAATCCCCCATCCAGACTTTAGATCTGGCGAGTACATATTCTTCTTCGCCTCCGTGATAACCATATTATCTTCCTCTCTCACAGATCTGAAATCCTCAAAGAACCTTCACACTGTGCGCCGTTGTAGGTCACGAGCGTTGATCCCACACGCCTCTTTGGGCTTCTGGGACACGGTGAAAAGGCAGTTTCTTTCGGAGGAAACCTCTCCGATGTAGAAGAGGAGTTTCAGACATCTCATCGATGATGAGGTCTGGAGAAGAAGAAGCGGTTACGCCGTAAAATAATTAACGAAACGCTGGCAAGTGTCGCCGGTGAAAAAATAACATTTTTAGTTCTGTCCACGTGGACTTTATGACCTGCATCCGACATGGCACTCCTTAGAAGGAGAGAAACACTATTTTATATAATAGATGATTTGAAAGTTACAATGTAAATAGCAACCACCATAAGAGTCTTCAAAACAAAAAATATCCCAAAAAAGAAAAACAGCAGAGTCTTGAAACATAAAAGCAGAAATTGAAAAATGAAGTGGTGGTTGTTTAAGTTCCCTTAGCTGATTCAATCAACTCATTCTTTCTTCCTTGTCTTCTTACCAGTAGCATCTTCATCTTTCCTTGATGCCGAACTCTCAGCAATTGTAGTATCAGACAAAACTGACCTAACTAAATCAGCAACTGTTCCTGTAGCCACAGTCGGAGGCACCTGCTCTTGAGTGACATTTGGACGTCCCTATTACCAATAGAACGATCACATATATTAGAGAATGCAACCAGCTAAAATTAAAAGAACCGACATGGGGTTAGAAACAAACATGCTCAACAAAAGCTGCCATAGGTGCAAGCGCACGCTCAGGGAAGATGCGGGAAATTGTGAAAGTCTGGTGCTTTGATGTGAAATTGAAATCATTCAATTTGAGCTGGAAGGTGTAGGTTTTTCCGACGATATCAGCCAGGGACCGAGGCAAGTCGGTGTCAACCCGAGCATCAACACCAATTCCACGAGGACAAAGAAAACGCCTAAAACATGTATCCAAAATAATGAAGCCAGAGATGAAATTATTATCTAGTGATTCACTTCATGTCTTACCACAATTTGTGCAGCCTCAGAGGCTTGAATGTTAGTTAGTTTAGCAATCTCCATATCAAAACCAAGGAAGGATGCAGTGTCAGTGTGGTAAGATGATGCGGTACATAATGTATATAATGTTAGCGACTGCAACATTGACTCATGTGTTGTTATAAATATAATAAACATAGACAATTCGTTATTTCATACCTCAGAGCGGCTACGTCATTGGTTTCATTACATGAAACACATGTAAAGGAAGAAACCTCTTGTACCACTTGGAACAACCAATATATGACCAACCGTCTTCCTGCTGGATGCCAGTAATTTTAGCCGTGCAGAGGAACTCAATAATCTGAAATCAGTAGATGAAGCGGGTCATGTCAAAACAAACAAACTTTAAACCTACTACAAATAAGGAGAAATGAAACATCACTTGAGAGTCAGCAGTGTTGATGAAGTTGTTAAGCTCAGAAACCGTCAGTGGCTCAATCTTTTGGGCATGCACGATCTTGGATGAAGAACCTGATTGGGATGATCCCTCACCAACCAAACTGCAATGACATGGAAAGGATTAGTAGCTAAAAAGAAGAAGTCTTATTCCAATATATATCTAACGAACAGAAAAAAATAATCTCTATATTTAGTTTTAAACAACGTACGTGTTATACTCTTCCTTCCCAACAGCGTTCTCAGAGTCGAAGTAGAGGTGTGTCTCGGAAGTTGCATTCAAAAATAGACGGCCTATCAATATGACGTAAATTTTAATCTATAATACGTGTAATTAGAACAGGAGTCATAAACAGAAAACATGATTACCTCCAACTATTTTAGGATTGGCGCTTGTGACAAGGACAATTTTGGGTTCTTTCTCATACCCGTCAAACTTTGAATGGAACGCTAGAGCCATTGAATCAAACATGCTAACACGAACGTTCTCACCACTGAAAGGGGTTAACTGAAAAAGAAAGTCTAGTTAAGATTTATGCTAAGAACGACCAATACAACAATAGGTGATTTTGTAACTCAAATTACCTATGCAGGCGCAGAGTAAGCATCACACGCTGAGAACCTGCTCTACGGTTAGTGATTGTGCTCCTGATTGAATTCACCTCACCAATAACATCTGCAGAAAAATATGGAGAGCGAAGCTTTAACGAATGCTATGACAAAAAGAAATCCAACACTTTAGGAAAAGGAACAAACCAGGCAGTTGCTTGCCGGTGTTGGCCAAGTCAAGAAGCTGATTGTATGGGAAGAATCTGAAGATTTCCAGAGGTATATCGGTTTTCTTCTCGAATTTGGTGGCATCAGTGAACCGAATTGTGAATGGGGCATCACACAGACGGAAATTTGTGTTGCTGCGTGTGACATCAAAGCTGCTCTATGTGTAGACAGATCCCTCCTTAAGACAGTCCCTGAACCTCATTTGACGAATTGATAACAAAATTCAAGCGACCAGGTTTGATAAGGTTCAGCGAACCATAACAAAGACAGAGAGAGTAATACTAAAAACCAATAAGAAACCTACACAATTGATAACATAATTCAAGCGACCATGTTTGATTTTAAGCACGTAATGAACTATCATTTTCTACTTCCACAAAGAATACCTTAAACTACAGATTTATAAAACTGAGGATATTCTATGATATTACAAATCATGCAAACCGTTTTGATTAAGAACACAAATAATCCAATTACATTGTCTAATTCTACCGAGAATACCATAAAGGACAAATGGAAATCAAGATACTTACATTTTCATCGACGAAAAGCAGATCAACACTCATCAACTCACCACCTTTCCTCACATTTCTAGCCTCCCAGAACCTCAGCAAACGAACCTCCACAGCGTTAAAGCATCTCCCGGCTTTCAAATCAGAAAGAAGGGTGTATGACTTTTCCATGGAGGTATGAAGAAGATAAACAGAGAAAGCGTCTGGAAATAATCGTAAGCGTGAGACTCATGGGTTTAGAAGGGAGTATTTATAGAGTACGCATGATCCGTTACTTTAGAGACTTCACAGAGCAGGATTTAATGGTAGAGTAGTGTCGTAATCATAAATTGGGATTTAAGAATGGAAAACAAAAGGGTATAAGTTTTTAAAAAAAAATGAAGCAGAAAGATGAACTCTATCGTAAGGGAGGCGACAGGAAGGTGAGCAAAATAACCCTAATTTTTTAACGGGCCCCAAATGAAGATATAAGAACCCATCATTAGAAAAAAGAAGAAGCCCATTTCAGAATGGGACAGGTGGCAATCATTGCCCCCAAGGAGATTAAAAAGCTTCATTTCTTTATAAAGATAATCATAAACACAATAATAGTCCTAGAAAAATTCTTGAGTACTCTTTGTTTTATTTTGATTTTTCAAAAATTTGCTAGGTCTGAGTCTACCGCATATAACGTGTAACAAACTTGTAAACTGGTATACATGTGGACAACCATTCATAATATTCAATGTAGGCCTGCGATTTTGGTTTTCTGAAACCGAACCAAACCAAAGTTTTGGTTTTTTGTTAACCGGAATTTTTAAAACTAATTCCAACAAAACCGAAATTGAATTCGGTTCGGATCGGTTTATTCAGTTTTCATTTTATTTCCGAAAATAACAAAATTATTAAATGGTTTACCCAAAAACCAAATTTATTTTTGGTTTTCTCGAGTATTTTCGAGTATTTTCGGTTATTTTTGGTTTTTCGGTTATGACTTGAAAATTACAAAAACATCAGCAAGACTGACATGGATAAGCCCAATGAAAACATATAATTTTTCATACTTTTCCCTATCATCATAAATTCAAAACAAAAGATACAAGATTCAGAATCGATGACTCTTTGCAATTAGTAAAGATCCAAAGCGGCATAGATTCACATAGTTTCAAAAAAAAAAATTGAGAATGTCCAAAATACAGAATGAGGGACCAAAATAATTCATAATGGTGGACCAAACAAAATAGAAACATGATGCCATCAATTCCCTCAGTCTCGCACTTGAACCTGGAACTTTGTAGTCAGAAAATCAGTTAAAAGACATAACAAAAATACACACAAGACATGTCAGTTATAAGATAAATAACATTACTTTTAAGGTTCTAACTTTTCCACCAATTTCATTTGCTCGTGATTAAGTGCTGTCTCCAACTAAATCCTCATGTCTTCGCAACCTAACATCTACATAAGATGAAGAAATTCAAGTTAAAGAATAAAGAGAGTATCAACACTAACGGAAGACACTTAACGGCTCAAACCCAAATCAATTTATAATGAAACCTAAATCCCAAATCGATCCCAAATCCTAGACTGAAAATAGATAAACAAATCCCGTGAGACGCTAACACACCAAACTCTTCCTTCGATCCAAATCTTAATCCCCTAATCGATTTTGATGGATACCCTTAATCTCAAATCAATCCCAAACTCTAAAAAAACACTTATGAGACACTGTCACAATAATCGACCTTTCCTTTAACCCTAATTCTAAACACCTAGCAAATTTTAACAGAAACCCCAGATCCCAAAATGATCTCAAGCCCAAACCCCAAATTGAAAACGACACAAAGACAAGGAATGAGAAAGAATATCTTACCTCGTGGTTGGAAAGATGTGAGAATCAGATGAAGATGATGTTAGACATTCCGAGAAGAAGACTAGAAGAGGTTCGGGTTTGAGAGAGAGACATATGGATTAGGATTAGGTTTAGGTCTGCCAACACTTACGTTTAGTTAGAGGTGTATATATGCTAGGTTTAACTTTGTTTAACCGATTGGAATTCATGAACCAAACCGAACCAAACCAAGGTACTAACCGAACTCATTTGCAACATCCTCCGATCGGTTTGTTCCTTGTAACCGAACAAAAACCGAATGGCTCAATAGTTGGTTTGGACCATTTGGTTCGGTTTGGAATCCCAGGCCTATTCATATGTATCATTGTACATGTGAATAGCTAGATTGTGTATACAATGAGTCATGTACATATGAAATAATACATTTGTCTGTAAAAAAAATGCATACAAGAAATGACGCATACCTCATGGGAAAGACCTCTTATAAAACCACATTTAATTTATTCATTTTCCACAAAGGTAAAATTGTGTAATCAAAACATAAGTAAAATTGATTTTTCGGTTTTAAAGTATAAGACTTTTACATATTTTGTAACCAAAACATAAATAAAATCGATTCAAAAATAAGCAAAAAACATTAAACGTGATCATTCAAAATCAAATGAAAGGTAGACATAGTTATTAATAGAAAAAAAAAATCAAATAAATGAAAACATATAACAAAAACTAAATTCTCGCGAAATGAGAAACGTTATTCAATGAAAACAAAACCAAAATCTAAAAATTTCAATTTTCAACCGCCACCTTCAACCATCAACCTTCACGTAATAGATAATTATTTGAGATTTTCAATAATATTTTAATGTATTTTGGATACATATTAGGAATTGAGATCATGTTTGGTACATGTTTTTTATGGGATTTTGAATGTTTTGGGTTTTATCAGATATCTATTTAACTTTGGGTTCGGTTCGGATAATACTCATAACCGAAATATCATAAAACAAGATCCATTCAATATTTATATCGGGTTCGGATCGATTCGGATTTATTTTTATCGGATCGGATTTGGTTTGGATTTTCGGGTTCGGATTATTTGTCTAGCCCTATAAAGTTTTCCTTCATTGCAATAAACGTGTTTAATGGGCCAAGAACATAATAATTGGTTGGTGTCATTGTTGGGCCAATAGGCCTCAAATATTCTTAGTTATTATGAGCCACATATAAAAAAGGCACCTCGTAGGTTTCAACATAAACCCTAGGGAGATCTCTTCTCCTCTCTGCTGAGTCCGTCGTCTCTTACAACTCTCCTTCTGCCGAGAGTCTAATTTTGCTCGCGACCTGTATCACTTGCCAGGTTAATTCCCCAAATATCAAAGCTACTTACATCTCGTGATATTTTTTCAGTGAATACATTGAAACAGCGAAATCAGTAATTAGATGTCTGCCTAAATCTCTTTTTATGCTGTAGGGAACTTGTAAGGAGGAGACAATGAGATTGGTCAAGTGTTGGTTTTGCTCGTCTACGATATATCCTGGACATGGTATACAGTTTGTCCGCAACGATGCAAAGGTAAAAATCGTTTGCTCTAAGAATCACATTACTTTGTTATGTAATAAGCCCTCTGGTTTTACATTTTCGCTATCTCTAGCTTAACTTATTAGGCTTTGATGTCTATCTTTAAGTTTATTTGCTTTTTAAGAACTCAGTGTCTTTTCTTACCGTTTAATTGCGTGTTCGAATCTTGTGGCATGAGTTCTGTACATAAGATGGAAGATTCTTTTTTTCAGACAGAGCACCCTCTTTAGCATATTGTGATTCAGTTATTACAAGTGTTGTCCCTTTTGCAGATTTTCCGGTTCTGTAGGTCGAAATGCCACAAGAACTTCAAGATGAAGAGGAACCCTCGTAAAGTGAAGTGGACTAAAGCTTACAGAGCCACACACGGAAAGGACATGACTCAGGTAGTCTATACTTATACCCTTTCAGTAAAGGAAACAATAGCTCTCTCAGATAAGTCTCTCACCATCACGCTTTTTTTCCTTTCCACAAAAAAAGGATAAAACTTTTGAGTTTGAGAAGAAGAGAAACAGACCCGAGAGGTATGATAGGAACGTTACAGAGGATACTCTCAAGGCAATTAAGAAGATTGATAAGATCAGAAGCACTAGAGAAGCTGACCACATCAATAAGAGGTATGCGTTTATAATATATAAATATTCCTTAATCTCTCATACAGATTCTTTGAAATAACTCTTATGATTGTTTTTTTCTTGTTATTGTGTGGGACTTAGGTTGAAGCCAAACAAACAGAAGATATTCAAGAGTGCAGTCGATGAGATAGATCAGCACATTAATTTGCTCATAGCACCAGGTTCAGAGAAGATGAAAGTTTTGGTCTCAGAAAACAAATCTGTCCAAAACGAAGCAATGGAAGAATGATCCTACGGGAACACTCTGAACCTGATGTCATCGTTAAAAAAAAGAAAAGTGTTTTGGTGTTTGTACTGATGAAAGGAGTTTTTAGATTGTTTCGTTTTGCAATGTATTAGTATTTCCTTCGAGGGAAACAAAGTTTAGGAGTATTTTTACATTTTGCTTTTCAAACTTAAAAAAACTGTGTTAGCTCAAGAATTCTTATTCATGATCAAAGACTTATTAAGGAATATTTATAGTCGTGTTTAATTGTTCAAGCCTCATGGTACAGTTAGTTCCAAAATGTATGGTTTACTCTCTATCTATATAAGAGTGAAAAGGTTGATGTGGTCAGCTTCTCTAATATATTCTAGGGTATTCACCGATAATACACTAGGGGTGTACACTTTGGTATACACCACGCTGTACACTAGTATTTATGTGTACACTAGGGTGTTCTCTCTAGGTATACACTAGGGTGTACATCCTTAGTGTCTATAAAGGTGTACATTCTTGTAGACTATTATATCTACTAAGGTGTACATCATAGTTAGATCTTCATGTTCACAGTTGTTATATACCGGTGTACATCCCGGTATACACTACGTCATACATTTCCACAGTAGATTACGTATACATGTTGCTATATAAGGCTAAAACATTTTGATATTAACATTTAGGGTGTTAGGTTCGGGTATGTGATTTCAGATATTAACATTTAAGGTGTTAGGTTTTGGTATATGATTTAGGGTTAAAGAATTATGGTTTCAAGTATATGGTGTAGGGTTTAGTATTTGATTCAAGGTTTTGAACAATTTTTATGGTGTTTTTTTTTTGTTGTAATTGCATATTTTATAGTGTTTAGAATATAATGTATATAATATATTATTTTGGGGGTATAGGTTTGGTCTCACTACAAGAAAACGCTTGATTACTGACCAACAGTTACGACCACGAAATGGTGGTCGTAATTTTACGTCTGTGTTAAGACCAGTCAATAACAAAAAAAGATATTGGTCGTAAAACCGAAGTAAAATTGGGACCACAAATATTGGTCGTAAAGCAGAAGTGACTTAACTTCCAATTTATGACCAAAAGAAAAAGTGGTCGTAAAGTAGAAGTTAGTTGACTACGGAATTACGACCAAATAATTAGCTTCGCATTAACTACCAAATTACTTGCACGTGGTAGTTTATTCGAAGTAACATAATTTTGGTCGTAAGTAGGGGGTAATATTCCCCACCTACCATTTCGAAATTTGCCTATAAATACAATCTCATATTCCATTTTTTAGATACACCAAAAAAAAAATAAACAAGATTGTCCAAAAAAAAAACGAAACAAGATAGAGTAAAAAATGTCTCGAGATATTTATGAGCTTTGAAGTTGGATGTATATACATAAAGATTCTGAGGGAAGAGTGACATCGGAGTTCCTCAACGGGGCAGAAATATTCATGTACCAGGCTGGAAACACGTCTCTCACGAAGGAAACGGGTAAAATGTTCTGTTCATGTGTTAAGTGCAAGAATACAAAATTCGCTCTTAGTGAAACAGTTTGGAAGCATATAGTTAATAGAGGATTTACTCCACATTACTACATTTGGTTTCATCATGGAGAAGGTGATAGTATGAATGAAGCTAGTAGTAGTAATCAGTTTTAAAATAATCGTAATAGAAGTTTAGAGTTGAAGTTTAAGGTTTGAAGTTTGGGGTTTGGGATTTGGGGTTTCGGACATAGGGTTTAGACAAATGTAGTCCCTTTTTGGTCCTAAAACACTAGTGGTCCCAGGCTGGTCGTAATATATATATATTTTATATATTCGTCCCTTATTGGTCTTAATTATGGTTCCTCTCTGGTCGTAAAACACAGGTGGTCCCAGGCTGGTCGTAATATATATATATATATATATATATATATATATATATATATATATATATATATATATATATATATATATATATATATATATATATATATATATATATATATATATATATTATTTTTTTTAATATTGGTCACCTTTTGGTGGTAACTGTTAGTCCCTCTCTGGTCGTAAAACACTGGTGGTCTCAGGCTGGTCACCTTTTGGTCGTAAACATTCCCTATAAATACCAAGTCCCATTCGAAATTGGACATCAAAACACAAACAACATCTCTTTCTTTAAACATCAAAACACAATTTTTTTTTTAAGAAAAACATATAATTTAGTTTTTGCCTAAGATATTTGTAAAAATACCATAGACAAATTCTTCCATGATTTGAAATATTTCTATAGAAGATTTGTCTAAGGTATTTATACATGTCTTAGGAATATTTTTTTTTGTAAAAAACATATAGTTTAGTTTTTGCCTAAGATATTTGTAAAAATAACTTAGACAAATGGTTCCATAGATTTGAAATATTTCTATAGAACCTTTGCCTAAGTTATTTATACATGTCTTAGGAATATTTTTTTTCATGACTTTCTTTTGGTGGTAAATGGGATGTAATGGTTAAAGTTGACCTTCTTTGGTCGTAATGTAGAAGTAAATGTTGGTCCCGAAGTGGTCGTAAATCTTGCTAGATTCTTATTGGTCGTAAAATAAAAGTAAAGGTTGGACCCTAAGTGGTCGTAAATATAGATAGAATCTAACTGGTCGTAATGTCGTCACTGGTGGATGCTGATTGGTCGTAACACGTGGTCCCTAATTGGTGGTAAAGTGACTCTGGTCGTAATCTAGAAGTAGGCTACGACCACATTACGACCACAGGTAAATCCCTATATAAACTCGTCGAGCAGAGCTCACTTCGTCGTTCACTACTCTCTCACTAGCCACCACTTTCCCTCTCTTCAGGTATGTTTTTTTTTCGGTTTTAGTTTTAGTTTTAGTTTAGGTGGTCAGTTTAGGTGGTTAGGTTTGGAATTGATTTAGCACGGGATTGGATTATTTATATTAAATAATTAGTATTTAATTACTTTTAAAATTATTTTGGAATTAATTGTTTCTAATCATAATTTTTATTTGAATATGTAGATATGGCCGGGAGAAAGAGATTAAGAAACCACGCAGCGAGAAGCCAAACTGCTTCTTACGGCGAAACAGTTCTCGGTTCGTCGTTGTCGGATCCATCAGCTAGCAGTTCTGGCACAGCCCGGGAGTTTGTCGTCCCTGAGACCACGGCCCAAGGCACTCAACCATCTTATGTGCCTCCTCCTCCGTTTGTGCCACCGCAGCAGCAGCCTCTTCAGTTTGACGTGCCTCCATACTATCCGCAGCAGGATGATCATCAGCAGTATCATGATCATCATCTGCAGCAGCATCATGATCATCAGCAGCAGCAACATCATGATCATCATCAGCAGCAGCATCATGATCATGATCATCATCAGCAGCAGCAGCAACAACAGCAGCAGCAGCATCATGTCCCTCCTCCAGTCCATGAAGCTGCTCCGCCTCCTCCTCCGGGTGTCCATCCGGATTTGCTTGTGCCACCGGATGCTCCCTACGCTAGATACACGGTGGAAGATCTTCTCCAAATGCCGGGACGAGAAGGTTTACCCATCATCGATTCAGATAGACCACCAAACACTCTCAGGTAATTTTAATTATGATTTTTTCCATATATATGAAATTTTAATTATATATATTTTCATCTAACATTCATGAATTTTCATTTTTTTGTAGGTTTCCAATAGATAATCGCTTGGGACGGAGCGTCGCAAACATCATAAGGACGAACTTCCGGGAGCCTCATCTGAACTGGTCCCTTACACCGGACCACGTTCGGAGGACTTGGTTCAAATGTTTTGCGGTAAGTTATTTTCTTTCTTAATTAAATAAATTTATTTCACTTTTTAATTTCATTTAATTATTTAATTATTTCTCATTTTAATTATTTTTCGCAGCAAAAATGGAACTGGTCTATTGCGGTCAACGAGACAGTGAAGGAAGGGTTTTACGAGAAGGCGCAAGAACGCCTTAAGAATATTGTGGGCGATTGGAAGGATAAGTGGAGGTTTGATCCCGGTGTCAGAAAATGTAAACCGACCTACATCAGCGATCACGTTTGGAATGGCTTGACGGCTTATTGGAGTCTGCCGAAGTCAGTTAAGGATTCGGCCCTTTGCTCCAACAACTGAATGGCGCGTGATGCTGAGGGTAATTTGGTCGTTGTGCCCCACACTTCTGGACAGACTTCTCATGCAGGGAATGCTCTACAAATTGTAAGTACTACCTTCTGTAAATGTTTTTTTTTTAATTTTTAATTTTTTTTACCTTTTTAATAATTAAATTGTTTTATTGATATATTAATTAATTAGTTTAATATATTAATTATGTTGTTCTGAAGGTTGCGGTGGAAGGAGCACCACCGTCTCTTGCCCGACTTTACAAGTTGACCCATCAGCGTTTTGACGGGACGTTTGTAGATCCTCGAGCAGAAAAGATCTACAACGATGTTGAGGAGCAGATTCAGGAGGTCCAGACCCAGTTGACGGTGGAACAAGGGAACCCGTTCAGTTATCCATCGTTGAACAAGAAAAAAATTTTGAGAAGGTGATTAATTATTATTCGATTTTATAATTAATTATGTATATACTAATTAATTTAATAATTTAGATTATTTTAAATGAAGGTTATCCCGAAGAAGAGGGGACGGATGATCGGGATCGGTACGGTGAACGATGTCCCGAGGGCTAGAGCTGAATACGCTACAAGACAACAAGAAGAATCTCAGCAGCTCCGAACCGATTTGACAACCGCCAACCAAGTCATTTCGACCCTCCGGACGGACAACGAGGCCAACAGGAACCACATTAGGACCATGGCGGAGATGTTTGATGTTATGGCGGAAACAAACCCAGCCCTTGCGGAATTGTGGAGACCTCGACGTTCAACGATCTATCCCAACCTAACTCCAGAAGAACGAGCAAATGCAAAGCGAGGAGTCGATGAACATAGCACCCAGTTTTTCGCAGACATTAATCTTAATAATTAATTAGTTTTCTTATGTAATTTGAATATATATTTTTATTATGTTTTGGATATATTAAGTTAAATTTCTTTTCGAAATGAAGGACTTTTAATTAAATATTAATTTTCGTAAATTAAAAATTTTAAATTTGTGAATTTTAAAAGTGAAATTTTATTATATTTCTAGAGGTTATTTGGTCGTATTAAATAAATCAAACCGAAGTTATCTGGTCGTACTTTTTACGACCAAGTTGTGTCTATTTTTCAAGAGTCGAGGTTATGTGGTCATACACGTTACCTCGATTTAAATATTATTTTACGTCGAGATTGACTTCTACTTTACGACCAA